CATGTACCTATAATACTGAGTAGTGTAATGAAGCGTATAAATATCGCGCTTTCTCGGGTGAGACGCCGCAGAAAGACAGTGAGTCATGGCTCATCCCATCCTACTTTTACTAAAATGGCACGTTGTAGGAATGGGTTTGATCGACGAATTTCACTCCAATCCGGAGATCTTTGTCTTTCTCATTTCGACTCTCGCTGGAGGCACGGGCCTCAATCTCACAGGTTTTTCATTTACCTGTCTTCTGGTTCGCTGCGCTAATTGTTCTTCGACAGGTGCTAACCATGTTGTAATTTTTGGTTTGTGCTTGTTCTGTTCCTTCCATTCGCTTGTTGTTGATTTGATGTACGATGTCCAACAGATCCTCACTGGAGTATGTTGTTCAACGCTGGCTGCTGCATAACTGCTTTGTGCTGACGAAATTTTAAAGACCCCGCTCACGATCTTCAAGCTATGGATAGGTACGACGCTCGGCTTTCTGATTGATCTATCTCTACTGACTTTCAAAACGTCGGAAGAGCGTATCGAATTGGGCAAACTCGTCCTGTGAAAGTTTATCGCCTGCTCGGGGCGGGGGCTCTAGAAGAGTTGATATATAACTGTCAAGTCTACAAGCAGCAGCAAATGCGAATCGGGTACGAAGCTAGCATACAGACTCGGTACGCTCCGTGTTTGTTTCCTTGAGTGCTGTTCTCATTTGGTCAAATCTCGTAAGCTACTTTGAAGGCGTTAAGAATGATCCCCAGAAGCGCGGGGAGCTTTTTGGTCTTAAGAACATATTCAGGCTCGATGAGAAAAAGATTGCAACGAAATCTTCTGTAAGAGCACGAACAGACAACTGACTTTCTAGCACCCTCATTATGTGTTTCATTTAGATCGAGGAAGCTAATCAAGCACAGCTCGATTGGGCATTTGCCAACGTGGACACCAAAGGTGTCAAAGGAGACTCGAATGATCTAGAGGTAACGTCTCAACGCTTCTTTACACTACTGAAATTGATTGTATTATAGAATATGGCTGGACTGGATGATTTCGTGATGGATGATTACACTAAATGTGTGCATCTCTCTGTTGGTTCACTGTTTTCAGAGTTCAATCTGTTTTTCGTAGCGACTGCTTCTGCCGAGAAAAAGCAGGATGAAAGCAGGATCGACAAAATACTTCAAACCGTTGGCATCACATACACACACGATAATGCGGAGATATTGAAACAGAACGAAATCGAAGTGGAGAAGGCAAAAAATCTTCTCGTGCGCTTATGCCGTTTTTGTTACTGTATTCGCTCGATGTCTAATTCATTTCCGTCGTAGAAAAAACTCAAAGCTGTGGGCAGACGCTCTGGTCGGAGTTCCTGGCTTACCGACAATGACTCCCGGCCTCGACGAGCCTCTCGCCAAAACAACGCTCCTACTAGTAAAAAACGACAGAACACTAGTGGTCCCACTGAATACGAGGAACCAAAAGCGCAATGGCCGCCTGTCCGGAAGCACCATCGACCAAAGCTCACCCCCCAACAACAGTAAGCAGTGATCTTTTCTCTATTGGCACCAGTTGTCAAATGTAATGCTCACATCGCAGAGCCGAAGCTCGTTACGAAGCGCTCATTGATCTTGAGTTGATTCGAAGTTTTGCTGATATAAAGGAAAAATTTGTCCCTCAGTTGTGAGCGTTGAGGATTGATGTCAAATGGTCTAATCCTGACCTTTTGTCTCTAACAGTCTCAAAGGGAGCCTCGAGGAGCAGAAAAAGTGTCTGAAAGTTCTGGATGAACATAAACGGCAGATGGACAGAGATAAACTGAAAGCCGCCGCAGCGCGTCAAGCTAGTGGCGATGTCGATAGCTCTGACTAACAACTCCAACTGCTATTATTTTTTTTGTCACCGCAATCGCTGTATCATTATTTTTAATGTAAATCCCTTCTTGCTTGCGTCCGCTGTAATCCGATCCTTGACTGTGCAGATGGCCTCCATTCATTAGTAGATAGAATACTTTGAAGTCTCTCCTAGCCCCTGCGGCGAACTTAGCATTAGAATCTGTTCTCATTCCGGTACTTTAATTAGTTGCATATACTCATACCATTTCACCGCCTTCATATAAGAGAAATAGAGAACGGACGAGTTGTGAGTGAAACCTCGTACCTACCTGTGTAGCCACTTGGATTGCTTTTAAGAAAGGTTAGTTTACACAAGTCTAATCAGCCAAAGAAGTAAATTGTAGCTCTGCCTAACACCCTCGACGCTCAGTGCATTCCAGACCCCAGTCTCCTCTTCACACACACAGGTCGCCTGGCCTTACTTGGTGCTCAGCTACTCTGCCTCTATCATGATGACTATGTCTCAGACACGCCCTTGTTATTTTTCACATATATCACTACCAGAGAGTTCATGAGCAGGCTATTTCCTGACTCATGTACAGTGCTCTTTCCCATCTGTTCACTTTCCTGATCCGTTGATCCCAAACAAACCAGTGCTGTCGGGACAAACCAGGAGCCACCCCTCAAGTTCAATCAACCCCGCTTCACTCTCACAACAATTGATGTCAGTTGTTTGAGCCTTTGACAAAGGAGAGAGACATAAGATCAACACATTACTCAGTATCCAAGCCAACCTTGCTGCAGCGAATATAAGTTGTCCTCATTTACTTGAAGCCTCTCACTGTAAGCTTCTTGACTCTATTGAAGAAACAAGCAGGAATTCACTTCAACTACCATACAAGATCAAAGTCCAGTAATTCTCAAGAGCCTGTACGATATTTCAGTGTTCCGGACATCTCTGATATAAGTGTCTCATTGCTGTGCAGCGCCTGTGCTCCGTGACCGTGGCGGTGGGAATTTACAGCTTTGAAACGCACCCTTGGGCGCCTGATCTATCTCTTTGTTCTCGACGTTCACCATCTCGTTGTTCCAAGTTGAAGCTTCACTGATTTCGAGCTGGACTATTCGCAGAAGACTGGTAAGCTTCAGTTGATTAACCTTCCAGTGTTTTTCTGGGGCTTTGCTGTAAAGTGGTATAGCTTTTGATATTGTATTGATCTTTACTGTTGTCAATTGGATTGTGTGGCTTAGAAACGAAACAAACTGACTACGCACCCAATTTCTAGTCCTCAGGCTGCCGACTGCGCTGCCACAATCGAATTAACGACACGACTCCATTCCTCTGTCGAAATTTCTTCCTCAGCTTATCCAAGCTACCTCTACCAGTCGAACGAAGATGTTCATTCCCCTGTGAATGTTTCGGCTGCTACTTTTGATTCGTCACTGGATACACGCACTTATGGACAACCTCTCAAACAAATGAACTCAGTAAATGATGCTCCTTCGACTAGAGCATTTGAGCTTGCTGCGCATTATGGGATTCCCCAGTCACTCCCCACTCCGCCTAGAGCCAACCTGCGGACGCCTGCGAATACAGCTCAACCATCCTACTCGGACATGGTGCCCGATTTTGAGGCACTTAGACAAAGCTATCTGAACATGTTATCGAGTACTCCCTCAGAAAACCCTACTCTCGCCAAGGTCACCGAGTCTTCATCAGCGCGCCCAAGTCACCCCGCCACATCTGCAACGGTGCCGACGACTATAGGCTCTCAAACCAATGATTCGTCATTGCAGCCGATCCTTGACCTCATCGAAGGTAGAAATCCTTTACCAATTCTATCCTTACATTATTGATTGGATTTTTAGCGTCTCCCGAGTTTAAGATGGCGAATAGTTTTCTTACCTCCCCGTATACACCGTATCTGGATGACTTCGATACCACTCCAGTAGATGATTCTCCTTTTGTGGCTGACCTCAATACACCGATCATGGACCACATCGATGATATGGAGTATGGTGTTGTCGACAGTTCTTCCTGGATGAACGATGATGCTGTTTCTCCACTGTTCAATGAGGCCAACCTCTTGTATTACGCCCAACCTCCTGCTCAACCTGAAAACAAGAAGCAAACTCAACATCGGCCTTCTGCCGAGGGGCTGTTGCACAACGCCAAGTTATACACTTTTTCCCCGAGCAGTCCATTCCTTGACAGTCTGGTATCGCCTACCACTCGATTGGTTCGTTCCCCGGTCATTCATCCCACTTCTACGTTATATTCTTCCCCTCGTGTTCCCACAACGGCATCGTTGAAGCCAGTCCAGTCCGTTCAAAGTCGTTCCCGGAGTAAGTCTCGCGGCCCATCTCTCTCAGCGACTGGTACTCGGAGAGACATCACCCCCGCGTCAATGGTGTCACTAGATGCACCCACCCAGAATAGGAACTATATTCTGCCTTCCTCAACGTCTCGCAAAGCCAATCCGGTCCATGCTCAGAAGCGATCGCATTCGAAAGCTTTCGGTGACCAAGAGCTGGATGAACTCACTAGTGAAACACCTCCTGGGCCAAATGCGACAGAGATTGAGCACATCGAGTGGAAGCGCAGACAGAACACGATTGCAGCAAGGAAGACTAGAAGACGTAAACTCGAATATTTGCAGCATGTGGAAGTTGAGAACACGGAGTTGAGAGAAGATAGGGATCGATGGAAGGTCAGGTATGGCGTACTTGAAGGCGTATTGAAGGCGAATGGAATGGTTGTTCCCGTCTGGGATGATGAATAGATGCTTGTGTTTGATGGACTGATATATCGGTTTCAATCCAACGATGTCTGCGAATGATATGCTGATAATTCTTGTTTCTTGTCATCCTTGTTTACCTTATTACCCCCCACTCAGAACTGCACCCCATTCTTACCCTCCTCATCTACGGAATTTTCACAAACCTTGCTGTATCTTGTTGGCTTTTTGCTTGTAATAACTTATTCAACTACATATGTACTTCGTACGATGTAGTACATTAACGAGTACCTTTTATTTATGTACCAGACACATAGTGGCTTTACCTTGCAAGACCAAGTATGCAGTGGGTAGCACTTCGCCGTCCTCAACACAGTAATCATTACAATGCCACGCATCTGCTCATTTCTCGGAGGGGGTTTGCAGTGCAAATGCAAGAAAACAAAAAGATGGGGCGAATCCGGATTCGAACCGAAGACCCCCTGCAATGGATTGATAGGCACCCAAAGCAGGTATCATACCTCTAGACCATACGCCCACAGTATATAAGCATCTGTATTCCGTCTACAATCTCCATGACCTTGACTGAAAAAGTTTCACCATCGCTATATCATACATACTCCGACTCACGGCGCTCCTCTTCCTCAGAACCTTTCCCTACTTCCTCTTTTTCCTTCTCAATTCCTTGGTTCAACTGATGGAGGTTCGACTGGGGCCCATGGTAGTGTCTGTGTCCATCAACGATATACCATGCACTGGGGGAGTTGGGTTCAGTTGTTCAGCGACAATCCGTCAACATAACAAAAAGAACCCACAAGGCTAATACCATAACTCCAACAGTGATAACCGAGGCATAGTTCATCGTCTCTGGCGTAACCGGTAAGGTGACCGGAAAAGAGAAAACGACGCAGACGAATAGCGTCCAGGTGATACAAATGCAGTTCGCACCCCACCCGATTATCCCGTTGCCCATGTAGAAAGGGCCTGGCTTGAACATCACCTCGGGGTGATGTTCGAAAACACGACGGAGAAAAATGGGAATGATGTAGCTTAGATCTAAAGCTATGGCGGTTAGAGCAAAGATGGCATTGGCGGCGATGGGGCTCGCTAGATCGAGGAGACCAGGAATGATGCTGATGAATGTGCATAAGACTATAGATCGCAGAGGGGTTTGGGTGATCTTAGAGTTGATCCCAAAAAATCCCCGGTCGGGTAGACCTAAGTATGGAACCCTGGAGATTCAGGGGGTGTTCAAACCACCGATAGGTGGTTCACGACATACCGTGATCACGGCTGAAAGCGTATACCGTACGGGAGGTAGCTTGAAGAGCCGTTTGAACAACAAAGAATGCAGTGAAACACACGGGAACCTTTTCTCAAAAGCAGTCAGTCAGCTGAAGAATCTTTTCAGAAAGCAAGAAGCTAGTTCAAGTTCACCCATAATATAAGTGAGCCTGCTTTCCCCATCCTGAGATACATGACCTAGTAAAAAAAGATTGAAAGAAACTGAAACTGAGGGGCAAAAGCAAGGAAGAGTTACCTGTAAGAAAGCGGAACCGGATGCTCCAGGAAGGTCCGTACTAACCAGACAATATTGCGTCAATACTCAATTTAAACGAACTCGATTCCGAACGAGTAGCTTACAGAGGGCCAGAGCATAACACGATCACGATGTTCAAAAGCCATCCTAGCAGCCCAGTGCCGATGACTGTATAGGTTAAGTAAGTATCGGTCTAATCCACAAATTGTTCGAGAGTTACTACATACCGGCTATGAAGATAGCAGAAGGTGCTATATATAAAGATTCATCAGCAACTCGAATGAGACATTGCATGCAATGCCGGTCTCTCTACCTGCATATGCTGCACGTCTAACCTCCTCACTATCGAAATACTCCATCGTCAGTTTTCGAATGTTTTCCATGTGGACGAAACATACCAAATATGTGCTGTGGCGTCATAATCCTAGCGCGAAGTGAGAACTAAGTACTTAAAAGCACGCGTATATGAATTACCGTCATCTAGCCACATAACAGTAAGAAAGAGGAAACGCGTGATGGATCAAATCACTCACCGTCCATTGAACACTCAACAACCCAAAAACAAACGCAAGGCCATTATTCCACCCGCCAGTCTGGTTCACGATTCCTTGGCTACCAAACACATAGCCGGCGGCATGCATCTCGGAACGAGGGGTCGTAGCAAGGAGAACAATAATGATCACTATAACAGAATGAGTTGAACAACCAACAACATGGTAATCCAATGTGTGTGTCCGAACTCACGTACAGTTGCTCCTAGATTCACGAAAACGAATCCGGAAGACATGCGTGCCAACCAACGGGTACCCAAGCAGTTCTGCGATTGATTGTTTGAGACGATCAACAGCTTTTGAAAGGGTACAAAACTAACCAGAGATCCGTGAATGATGAGGAGTACAACAAATAACCACACAGTCTTCGCCTGAAAAGCATTGATATAATATAGCCTTCTCATCGAAGAACCAGCGATGAACTAGGTATGTACTGACTTGAGTGACTTCGTAGTCCCCATCCTGTGACGAGTTTAGATAAAACGGATCGCAAGAGGCGATAATTCACTTGCTTTGCCTATGACTACCGCAGCCCAGATCATGTTGGCCAAACCAAATTCCGTGGAAGACACCCCAGCGATTTGGCCTGGATAAGATAGTACGCATCAAATGAAATGTAACATTCAACGTATGATGATGATTGACTCCGTGCTTATTGGAGGCTTACTTACCGAGAATATTGAGCCATCCCACTAGCCAGCCAACCTAAAGAAAACGGTTTCAAAACACTTGTCCTACAAAGCTAAGGATCGATCATTTTACTCGTGCACGGTACTTCCGGGGGGTAAGCCGGGCGGAGGCTGTGTACCTAAGTATACATACATATCAAAAGCTGAAGTGAAAGGCATAAACAGAAAACGTGAGATATCTCACATTCCACCAGAGGTAGGATAAGCGCTGACGATTTCAGCGATACTACGTATGTCAAGTCTACATGAGCAGGATTCGCATGAGCAGAGCGATTCTGGGGGTTACCTAGAGCCGAGGGCCAAACACATGCTCGCTCCGAGAATCCAGCACCAGACCACCTATGTATATCGATCAAGATTTATTGGGTGGGATCGAGAACAGGACTTACAGAAGAGGGTCCCCCCGTCAAGAGCGGGGTGTTGAGAGTCGTTGCAATACTAGAACATAACCCCTTTGGAAGACATCAGTCCCAACGTATGTCGTCTGGAAGAATATCAGAGTACCATAATGCTAAATGCAAAACTAATCTACCCAAAGCAAACATCAGAATTTTCAGTCCGAACCTCTACCATGCTCAAATCGAAAACAAAACAGAACAATACCGTAGCCAGATTGGAGAATTCGCGCTTGAATGAGGGCACATAGCCCAGAGCGACGAGCTCCTTGTCATCGTCAGAGAATGCGGTCATGGCGGTAGTATCAAGAGAGAGTTATTTAAACAGATACGGTCACAACACTTGCTAACGCGCCATTTACATTTATGAATATATGTATGCTTGTGGATAAAGTGGCGTCCAATTGTGAAGTGCCCTCGGGAGCAAGGTTCAACGTGACGGCGCCAGGCGATAAGGCCTGATATCAAAAACCGAAGTAAAATATGTTGGAGACTCTGGTGGTCATAGTGGGAAGAGTTTTTCGATATCTACATAGACTCGTTCCCACTCACCGCAGCGACATTTGATGACGAGTCGATCAACACACGATGCCAAGGCTCTTCCAAGGTTGTCCCTGGCTGGGGACCGAGTCTATTCGACATGGATATCCGAAATTGCCATGTGGTTTCCGAAGTTGCAACAACTCTGCCAGTGCCAGAAGGTAGGAATTAAACTCAAATATATAAGCAGTGCAATTGAAACTGACAAGCTCGTAGAAAGCTCAGGAAAGGTAAAACATGTGCTGAATATCCTGCTGAGCCTGTACACCTATGTCTCGAGCTCATTCTCTAACTTGCGACCATATCGAAGAAATGGCAAATTGATGAGCGGAAGTTACCTGCTCCTTCAACAAGTCCCGCCTCAAGGAACGTTCGAGTTTATTATATTGAAGTCTCGACGGCTGAAATTATTCACCGTGTCACATCTGTCGAGTGCCGGAGCGGCAGTAACATAGCTGACAGTTATAATTTACTCATCTATAGATAACGTGCGGCTCGTCATCGATCATCATCGATCATCCTATCATCCGCGACGTTGACGGCCTTGCATCTCGGTTTGGAAATCACAGATACCTGACTGTCGTTGTCGACCTTGCACCATTAGATTTCTCAGCCCGCGCACGAGAATTGACCGCCAGAGAAACTTGGACGCTACTTGCCTGCGGAACTTGCCAAGATTGGACTAAGAAAAGTCCCAGCACAGTAGGAAAGGAACAATCACTGGCAGGAACGATGTCTTCGTAGTCGGGAGATATCATGACGGTAGTAATTATCGGACAATACTATGGGTCACAGGGTTCTTCCGATATCTTGAATATTGTGAATAACGTTTCGATCTTTTAAGTAATTTGAAATCTGAGTAGACAGTCTTGTTTAGAATCATCCTAAGATTGTATTTCTTCTTACATGTTAGAGCAGATAAGGCATACTCAGAGTGTCGGGTCATGACCGAACAAAAACAGGTACTTCCACATCTTGGGTCACACAAAGTCACATCAATGCTGCTGCTCGGCACTTCGGTACGCTCCATTTGATGCTTTGGCTTGTTTGGTTTGCTTGGTGGCGAGTAAGGCGCAGAGGATTGCCGAGAGGCCACGGCATGAGGCTGGATCAAATATTGTCACGTCGCATACCCTCTTCACTTCATCTGCTTGTCGTTTCTCTACATCACACTGGATTGCTCCAAAAATTGGTGTGCTAGTTTTTTAGAACCATAGCTCGATGCCGATGCTATTTTCACAGTAATCTACCAGCTCTTCGTACGGTTCCTGACATTTCAATCTAAAGTCACACTTGTATTTTGAAGGTTTTTGGTCTTGTACATACATATTGCCCGAATACACTCTTCTTTGTGTAGGATGATATGTTTATTGAGAACCTAAGAAGTACTACATAAAAAGTCCAAGGGCATTTACTGACCTATAACATTCAAAATATAACATTTTCTAAAATGCGGAAGTACCCTGGTTACGGAAGAACCCTGTGACCCATAGTACCAACTCGTCATACTTGCGGCATTTTTACCCAAGCAAGAATCCCAAGGCGTAATGGTAAAGGGTGAACTTTAGAGTAGGTGAATCCATCAGGTCCTCAGGTCATCGTAGGAGTCTTCATACACCTGCTATAGTCCGATGCCGTAGTTTGCACAATTTGCGGAGGTTTTTGCTCTCCGAGTCAGTCTCCCTGAAATCTCCCGGAGGGGTGATGATATTGAAAAAGATTGAAAGGGATTGAAAGCCGCCTGAAAGCCAAACCGGTTATATCCGAACTTACCCGAAAGACCTTTCGGAAGTGAGGCGCTGTCTCGCGGAATTGTTACTAAA